GCTCGCCTACCAAGCTCGAAATAGAAAAAGCCATGGAGACCCTAGCAGCAGCATTCGGCCCCGCATTCAGGCCTCCCGCACCAGCCTCAGGCTGCAGGAAGGCCTCCAGCGACCAGGGAGATCCCAGGCCTGCCACTGAAGCCGCAACACTGGCCCTGCCAACCACCAGAAGAGGGACACACCTACACGATGGACACGGGGCATCGACTGCCTATGGACAGACCTCGCAGCAGGATTCAAACCTGCCACCCTTTCTACTGCCGGAACGGGACCCGAGGGAAGAAAATCAACCCAGCTACTTACCAACGCTGCGATATCTGCCAGGCCTTCCTGCATCTCCAAGGACCAGCGCTCACCGATCCGGACCAGCCGCCGCTGCCGCCGTCACCGCCAAGCCGCCGATCTTCGGGACTCCTCGGTTAACGACCGCGAGGCCTCCGCAGCCCCCATTGATGTCCGCCGGGGATCCAGTCGCCCAGCAGCAATCCACAATGCCCAGCGAGGAACCCAGGCAAGCCAGGGGTGAGTCCAGCACCCACCTGGCCGGCCTAGGCCTGGGCCTAGGAGCCACGACCGCAAGCTCCTCACCCGACGACTTCCAGAGACAAATGAGCCTCGCGCATGCCCAGTTTTCACCTACAGAGAGAGAGAGGAAAGAAACAAAGAGACACATCAGTACAGAGTGGGAAGAAACATAGATACACATCAGTACAGAATAACAGCATGCATACCCGTGCCTTATTGTGAATTCCCTCACTTACAAAACCATGGACAGCTACCCTCAGTAAGTAACCATTCTAACAATTCTGGGGCTTTACCTGTTAACTTTCCCAAACTACAAATAGACGAAAAAAATCTTCTAGAGTGGAGTCAGCAGCTGCAGATAATATTTATGAAAGAAAACTTACTTTTCCTAATCTCAGACCCACCCCAGAAACCTTGTACTTTTGAAATTGACTGTAACCACCACAGGGCTTTTTGTATTCTGTTAACCAGTATTTCTCCCACTATGTACCCAAGCATAGGGAATCACATGACGGTGCATGAAGTGATGCAAAAACTTTATAACCTTTTTTACAGCAGAAGTAGAGCAACCACAACCAGAATTTCCAGAGAATTCCATTCTGCCAGACTTAGACCAGGGGTCCCCATGAGTGAACACCTGTTAAAACTTAACGCAACCAGGGCTGAATTAATGCATAGGGGTGAAGCAATCACTGAGGAGAGTATGATGAGTATAGTCATAAACTCTTTAGACAATAGCTGGGACAACTTTGTGATGCAGCTGGACAGCCTCAATCTGGAACACTTAACATTAAACACACTCACTAACCGCCTCATTGCAGAGGATAATCTAAGAAGGTACTGCCATATATCAAGAAGGGACCCCAGGCCTACCAAAAGAGTTGAGTTCCAGGACAGGGGAAAGGTTACCCCAGAATGTTTTTCCTGTGGGTCCAGGAACCACTTAAGGAGGGATTGCCCCAGAGGTGATAGGGACAGGGGATATAGAGAGAGACGGTCACCAGACCGCAGACATTTCAGGGAACAGGGACGTGGGTGGTCACCCAACCCTAGAAAAAACAATGAACGCAGGGATGCTTCCAGGGATAGCAACCCAGGGGCCATGTACGGCTTCAGGCATGGTAAAGCGGGCCCCAAACAAGGGACAAATGAGAACATGTGGCTTCTGGACTCAGGAGCCACCAACCACACAACACACAACCCCAATCTATTCACCTCCCTCGTAGAGACAGACTTCAAGATCAGAATGGCTAACCAGAGCACAGCCAAGGTCATAGGGAGAGGGAATGTACATATATCAGGGGTTGGAAAAATAGAGGGGGTACTGTACATACCAGAGATACCCCACAATGTCTTAGCCATCGCAAAGCTCACAACAGACACAGACACAGAGGTAACATTCAAGGAAGGCAGGGTACAGATACTCAACCAAGGAAAAAGGGTTGGCAAGGTAACCACACATGATGGATTACTGTACTTTACACCCAGAGAGAACAGCAAGGGAAGTATAAACACAAGCATCACTCATGAGCAGGAGGGAAACACCGAAACAAGAGGGGGACTCCAGAGGGAAACAAACACTGTGTCACCAGGCAAAAACAAGGTATCCATGGGAAAACCCATCCACGACAATTGTGCCCACCTCCTTCACAGAAGACTAGGACATATCAGCTTCCCGGTTGTAGAAAAAATGCTTGAATGTACCAAGGGTTTGAAAGTAAAAAAAATATTTGGAATGTTCAGTGTGTAAATCTATGAAAATTAAGGTCAAAGCGAAGCCCAAAAGGTCAGAGCGCACAACTGACTCCCCATTTCAGCTAGTACACATGGATTTAGTGGGACCACTGAGGCCCTCCATTGGACATAGAAAAACCATAACCATACTAGACGACTACAGCAGGTATGGCTATGTATACTCACTCAAGCATAAGAATGAGACATTCCAAAGGTTCAAAGACTTTTATAAAAGGGTGGAACTGCAACATGGGGCGAAAATCAAACAGATAATGACTGACCGGGGTACTGAATTCATGGCCAAGGACTTTGCAAAATGGTTAAGGGAAAGGGGCATATTGCATTTTAGCTCCAACCCTTTTTCCCCATTTCAGAATGGGGTTTCAAAACGAAAGAACGGCATACTCCAAACGATGATGAGGTGTGTACTGGAGGACGCTGGAATGAACCAATCATTCTGGTCAGAGGCATTGCACTATTCTAACATTCTCACTATTCTATTACACGCTGAACAGGTTGTGGTCAAGCTCAATCAATAAAACCCCATATGAACTAATGTACAAAAGAAAACCCAACCTAGCCCACCTCACGTATTTGGTGTCCCAGCTGACGTCCACATTCCCCAACAGCTAAGGAAGAAATGAGAAAAGGTGTCAAAAAGGCTAAGGTTCGTGGGCTATGAGCCTGGGACAAAGGGTTTCAGATTTGTGGACAGCAATAACAAATTCATTGTATCCAGGTCTGCGGAATTCCATGAGCATTCGAATTGGTCAAGGCTCCATTGCAATGACATTTTCCTTGGCAGAGATATGCGCCCACATAACCAAAGCGACAAAGAACTGACCACCGGAGGACCAGAGGAAACTGAACCAAACAGGCCCAAACACCAAGAACTGAGAGCCGAGGAATGGAAAGAAGGACACCCCACACTGAACCTAGATAGCTTCACCGAAAAGGAAGCCGAACGCCTGCATGAAGCAGATACGCCTCCTGACAGTCCAGCTAGATCCAGTAGGAACAAATTACCAAAGAGACTAGAGGACTATGTCATGTCCATACACACAGAGCATCTCACACCCAGTTCCTACGAAGAGATACTCGGCCTCCCCCAGGAAGAGAGAGAAAAGTGGAGACAAGCCATGGAAAAGGAGATGGAGAGCCTCCGGAACCTAAAGGTATACTCACCAGCTCGAGTTCCTGAGAACAAAAAGCCAATTGGGACCAAGTGGGTGTTCAAGGTCAAGACACTCGAAGACAACAAAGCACTCTACAAAGCAAGGTTGGTCGCACAAGGCTTCGCCCAAAGGTACCCGGAAGACTACACGGACATCTACTCCCCCACAATCAGGGCTGAGAGTGTCAAGAGCACCCTAGTAATTGCCACCATCCTGGGGCTGGAAGTATTCCAATTCGACGTGCAAACCGCATATCTACATGCAGAATTGGATAAGGAAATCTATGTTAAGGCCCCACCAGGATACAACGAAGGGAAGGACAACACATGGCTTCTGAACAAAAGTTTATATGGACTCAAACAGTCTGGCAAGAGGTGGTACAACTGTCTAGCCAAAGCTCTCAACACCATGGGCTTCAAAGCCACCTCTGCAGACAAATGTTTTTTTCACAAAGAGAGAGGGAGGAGCATTTGAAGTCGTCCTTGTGTATGTGGACGATATATTGTACATAGGGAAGCAAAGGACCAAATGCGATAAATTTGCCACCGAATTAGGAAATCACTTCTCTCTGAAATTGCTAGGGAAGATAGACAAGTACCTAGGAGTCCAAGTAATTAAGATTGATAAAGGCTTCCGGATCTCACAAAGAGAGAAAATCATGGAACTGTTATCCAAATGCAACATGTCAGAGGCAAAACCCTGCGAGACACCTATGCAACCGGACTTCATAAGGAGCATGTACAATAAAGCTGAACCCTTCGTTGACAACAATGTTGTTGTCTTGGTAGTGCAGTGGTTTAAAGCACCCTGTTATTAACACAGCTGCCTGCAATTACTGCAGGTTCGAATCTTACCAGGCTCAAGGTTGACTCAGCCTTCCATCCTTTCCAAGGTAGGTTAAAGGAGGACCCAGTTTGTGGGGGCAATAAGCTGACTTTGTATAAATATACAAAAGTATGAAGGCTATTGCTTAACGCATTGTAAGCCGCCCTGAGTCTCCAGAGAAGGGCGGCATACAAATCAAATTTTAAAAAAAATGTTGAAAGACATTTACAGGCATAGCCAGTTTCATGCATTAATTCACTTATGTACTCTCTGATATCATAAATTAAGATTTTATTAAGTCATTTTTATGGCAAGAGTGTTAACACAATCTAAACTACAGATGTAAAAGGTTGTTTAGAATAATAATGCATACAAGGCTAATATTATTTCCTTCTTTTGTTTTCCAAAAAGACATGTTGGTAAAGAAGCATGAAGGATGAATTATTTTCTAATACCAGAAATATCCAAAACATTTCTTATAGATAGTTCTAATTGTGTCACATTTTAAAATTATTTAATAGTAAATAAAAATATGGTTATCAGCAAGAATATGGTAATACATTGTAATCAGCAGCAATTCAAGTTTTCTTGAATGTTTAAATTTGAAACATATAGAAGTTGTTCATTCTTCTAGGCTCAAGTCTATTATGCTGAAATCCCAGATAGTGGCAGTTCACTGAAACATGAGTTCAGTTGCCAAATATAGATGAGAAGGACAGGAATTACATAGTCAGAGAAGACAGATGTAACTCCAGGGCCATGATTATCTCAACACTTATCATGGACCAAGCTTTCTTGAATGAATAGTTAAAGCAGCTCAAACTTCCTATTTTCTTAGGAAAAAAGGCTGAAGAGTTCTTATTATCCTACATGAAATTCTTCACTATTTGTCCTGAAGATTTGAAGGGTTTGTATGATCTATTTTGATTCTTCATTGAATATATTTCTTTATATTTATTTAATATTAAGCATTGAGAAATATTATTTAATATTTTGCATTTTTAAAAGCTCCTACTGATTAGTATCATTCTTTTTAATAAATTTATTTTATTGTTAAAGACTTTTATTAATGGAATACTTATACTTTTATCTATTTCATTCCTCTTTCTTAATTATCCCCAAAAATAGTTTACCCAAGTATTTACTTGTGCTCAGAATATTTATTTTCCGCCTTATTTTCACGGGATATCAAATATTCTCTTAACATATCTGAAGTTATGTAGAATTCATGGTTTCTCTCAGGATATTGTCTGAGGTTTCTTTGACAGATAAGTATTTCTGCCAAAATATTGGTTGCAGATTTACTAATATTAGAAAAATTGAGAAAAAAAGTCTGTAGTGTCTCTGTGTGTGTGTGTGTGTGTGAGAGAGAGAGAGAGATATGGTAAAACAATATATTGAACAGCTTGTGTGTATATTCAATACATTGTTTTACCATCATTATTAAACTTCTTTGTAATATGAGAAAAGCATTTATAAATATGCTGGTGTCTAATCAGAGAGGTCTAGAAATAACTCATAGACTAGTTCTAATTATGATCATGTCTGCTATTTGAGAGGGTTCAAGTGTTATTTTAAGTAGATTAGCTATCATTTAAATAAGCAGAGTTCTGGCAAAAGAAATCTAGATTCCCTGTATTGCAGTTCTCTGTATCCTGGCTCCTCCCCAGTTCAGCAAAAATACAGTGGATAGACAGAGGGTTTTGAATTCAAAACAGATTTAAAGGTATTGGATTGATACTAAATTACTAAATTATAACACAAAAACTGCTAGCCAGACCTTAAAAGTAATGGAACAATTGTAGCCCTTGAATGGTAAATACCCCTCCATTCCTTCATTATTAAAAATTATCTAGTTTCTACTTACGGATTTCAATGGTTGCAAGATGTGCAACTATTGAAGCACCTGTGAATAAATTGACAAGGGTGACTTTGAACTCAGCCTCTTTCACTGGAATTATTGAATGAACTATTTAAAAATAGCTTAAGAGATACTTTTGCCTGTTATCTTTTACTAAGCAATAGATTTCTACAGAGATGCAAAGGGATTTCTGCGAGATTGATGCACACTTAATGCACACACACTTCCCCTCCCCTCCTGTATTTTCTGCTTTGTTGGAAGGAACAGATATTCATAAAGAGAATGTTCATTGATTACATACAGTAGACTTTCTCAGATTTAAGTTATTTGTCACAGTGATGACAAAATAATGTTTGCAAAATATTAACCAAGGGGTATAATAAAGTCTGAAAAATGCACAAAATTAGTAAGGAAAAAATTATAATCTATATACTACTAAAATACTAGTATCTGATACTTTGTAAACTTCAATTGGGCAAAATGCTGAATCCTAGGACAAAACTTTGTCAACAAAGGTACCTCAAACAGATTATCTTTCAGAATGCCAGGACCCATTAGTCCCAAGTTGCTTCAGCCCCGCTACACTACTGCTGTTCAACATTGCCATAGTCAGGCATAATCATGTGATCTGTATTTTCTAACATTCCCTGACAGCTTTCCACAACTCAACAGGGAACCTGGAAGGAACTGATATGATTGCCAAAATTCCTTACTACTTTCCCACTAGCAAAGTCTTTGATTGTGAAAAGCTTGGAAGGACAAAGTAAATGAAAAAATGTGCACTCTCTGCCAGTCCCTCGGTTTCAATGTTCAATGTGAAACAGACAAAGCTTTTGCTTTCTTCCACAGTTAATAATTGCAATAATTGGAGAGCTAGTTCTTTGCTTTCACTTCTAGCGGAAAAAGTCTTGCACTGCCCAAAAGGGAGGGAAAAAGGGAACATGCTCACATTTTCATTCTAACCAAAACTTGCTAACTTGCTTTTTGATTTTCAAAATTGCTCTTTGATTTTCATTTCAGGGTTGCCCCACGCAGTTTTCTTTTCTGACATGATTTGGTCCCTTTACAGACCATCTCACATTTCTCTTGGACTCCTCAGCTGTCTCCTGCAGACATTTCCTGATCCTCTTCAACCCTATCACCATAGATATTCTTGGTCCACTGCTCATTGGCTACCACTCCATCTTGTTCTCCCCTGCTTGTTCAGTCACTCCTCTCTTTATCAGTATCTCATGTAGCCCATTTCTCTTGTCTATTTTCTTTACTATTATAAATATATGTACCAGATTACAGGTGCTCAAAAGAATCAGGATTTTTCCAACTGTCTATATGCCTTGAGCCTTGCATTTGATTCCTACACCACCCAAAAAAATAACCTTGGTCCTTACAATGTTGAGAAGAACAGATTAATTTTTTTTGCAACATACAGTAGCAGCTCATCCTTCTATTTATTCTCTTTTATTAGTGAAACCTGGGAGAAATAGCCTTTGTATAGGTCAAAATATTTTAATTTTCCCAGCATACAACTTTAACCGTCCTTTCAGTATCTATACAAAAAATCTGCCACCTGATGACATTTGTGAAATTGATGTTGTATTTTAAACCTGTAAGATTGAACAGTTAAGTACCATCTAGTTATCTCCAATTGGTATTTTTCAATTTTTATAACCATACAAGAAATTTTCCCTAGCAATATAAGGCAGACATGTCAAACTCAAGGACCCTGGAAAAAATGAGGGCCCGCCCTGGGCATTCCCCCTGGATGCATGCACAGGAGGCAGCGAGTGCGGGAGGGCTGGCGGTGGCTGGCAACAGCTTCAGCTCATTGACCCTTTGGCCGGTCATTGGCCGGCAATGAAGGCCAACTGGATGTGAGCCAGGGTGTCCAATAAGCCACGCTTGGCCAGCCCTGCCTGCACCGCACTTGTGCACTTCGGTGCTCCGCAGTCAGGCGACACACATCATCACCTTCCTCGCCTCACCCTGCAGCAGCAGCAGCCCTGTTCAGTAGGAGCCCCACCAGCCCTCCACTCTCCTCCAGCCCGGGAAGCCCATGAGCCCGGAGGGGAAGGGGGCCAGGGCTGGGCTGGGCTGCAGGGTCCCAGTGCCCTGGGAACTCAAGGACTAGGAGGCAATAGCATTTTCTATGAGAAAAGGGGCAGGAGAAGGAAGGAGGAGAAGGAGAAAAAGGCACTGGCCAGATACAACAGTTGCAGGGAGCTGCCACTGTTCACACAATGGAGGCATTGCAGCAGGATATAGTGGCAACTATATCATATTTGCCCTAGTACTTCAATATTTGCCCTCGTGTACTAGTACTTGTTTGTTCCCCAAACTTTGAGTATATATAGGCATTTAAGCTCTTTATGGCTGACCCTGGGTATGCTTCCTATATCTCCTACTTTATACCTGAGTTTTTCTTCCTTTCCATCACACCCTACCTCATTGTATGATTGGTTGTCTTGGGTTTATGCTTGGGATTAGGTCCTAAAGATCCTAAGGATTGTTCACCCTCCCCCCTCAATTTTAATTTAAAATCCTTCTGATAAATTGAGCCAGTCATTTTCCAAATACATTCTTCCCAGTTTTTGTAAGCTGCAGCCCATCCCCTGTCAGAAGCCCTTCATGTAGGTAATGCAGACTTTTAAACCAGTGGTTCATTTCTAAAATTCTTTGTTCCCTCATTGGATTATTGACCTTTCATTGGAAGTACAGATGAAAACACCACTTGTGCTCCTAACTCGTTAACTTCTTGCCTAGCTGCTCGTAATTTCTCAATATTGTTTTCAGGTTTATTGTCGTCATTTATCCCTATGTGAAGGAGAAGAAAGGGATCTGTGGGCTTGATTATTTTGGTAAAGTTCTCAGCCACATCTTTGATTTTTTTTTCTCCAAGAAGACAACGTATCTCCCTATATTTAATGTCCAGTCTATGGATGGATGGTTCTTTCCCCCTAAAATTGAATCCCCTATCACCAATACTTGCCTTTTTTTCCTAGGGAAATCTGAGCTAATTTTTTTCTTTCACGGGAGAACTTGATGATGCCTCTTTTCTAGGGACACTTGATGATGCTTCTTTTCTAGATGTCTGCATCCTTTTTTGCAGGGGAAGGCTATGAAAGTGAAGGCTCAAAAGGGGCTGGACTAGACAGCAGGGGCATTGTTCTTGGTTGCTGTTTTCTTCTATGAGTGACATGTTTCCATTAGCCTTCCTCTAAATGTCAGCATTCCGAGTAATGCATCCAAAGAAATCAGAATCCCAAGGCAGGAATGTTCCTCAGAGAACATGTTTATTGGATACATCATATCAGCACAGCCAGTGAAAACCAACCCTAAAAGTTTCCCATGGTTATCATGTAATTAAAAGAGAAAAAGTTTTCCTCCCCATGTGTCACAGGTAACATTGTCCAATCAAAGCAGATGACAGACTCCCTTGATCACTTCAGCTCCTTCTCCAACTGTCACCTGTTGGGATGACCTTGGTTCCCATGGAAGAGCTCTTTGTTTTGTCTACGAGATGGTCTAGCTATTGTGTGGCAACTATGAAGTATTACAAGATGGTTTCAGCCAGGTTCAATTCAGAGTCAGATCTCCCCTCTTAATAATAATAATAACTTTATTGTCATTGTACGTGTATACACAGTATACCCATACAACGAAATTCACTTAACACCCAGAGACCAGGTCCAACACACATAACAATCCCCAAACATACTCCCACCCACCACAATTCTACACCCCTAAACCACCCAAACATCCACACAACAGACCAAGTAATACTGTCCAACAGCTCACCGATGGTGGCCCTTTAGTTCATTGTTGAGTGCAATTATAGTTCTGGGATAAAAACTATTCAGAAAATGTGTGGTCCACGTTTTAATTGTTCTGTATCTTCTGCCAAAAGGCAACAGTCCAAAAAGATTGTAAGCAGGATGGGAAGATGTTATGCAACTTTCTCAAACAGTGAGATTCGAAGATGTCATCCAGGGCTGGTAACTGGAGTCCGATGATATTCTGGGCAGTTTTAATGATTCTCTGTAGAGCTT